ACTACGCCCTTACGCCCAGCCAGTCAAAAGAGAGAGTTCAAATTTTCAACCAATCATTGTCTATTTCCCATCTGGTGTCCCTGTGGTCATAAAAAAGGTTTCGCGGATAACTATTTTTAAGGAAAGTGATTTACCACCATGCTTGGAGAGGTTCTTACAGGTTGAAAATTATTGGGGGTGGGAGGAAAATCCTCTACTATTTTGTGGGAAAGAAAAGAAGATACGATTCGCACAAGAATCTCACTAAATAGTTTGGTAAATTCAAATATTTTAATATAGATGGCAATCATTCACAATAAATGATTAAGTTGATCCAATGACTTGGTTTACCCAAAGAATAAATTGTAAACAGAACAGTATTTGATTAAAAGTCGCAAAACCAAAACCGAATTTATCCCAACAACTAATCACAACAAAAGTCGGCGTCATCATTAGTCAATGAGGATTCGAGGTAAAAACAGGCAAGCACGGGCGGGAAAACGCTTGTAGCTAAGTCATAATTGGTTTTCGTTGTGCATCTGATTGGTTTAGAACACAGATATTTTCTCTATCTATCACAGACCGAAATAAAGCCAACTCAAAGGAACCCCGGAATACTTTCAATACTCAATTAAAAACTGCTCTTATTATGAATCGTTCCTCTTCCTTTATCCATTTATAACCCCAGTTAAAACTTACACCTGAAAAGTTTCCCTTTTCTTAACCCATGCCAAGAGGAGTGAACCAATTCGCAACTAACTGAAGAAAGTCAAAAAATATAGTCCTCTTTTTTTACCAATCTGTAACACTTATTAATTAAGGAAAAAATCAGTACAAATCAATATATGAGTTCAGTGGTGTTTAGATTTACCGATAATTCAAGTGATTTCAAATGTAACCATTACTTGCTGAAAGGGCTTTCTTCAATAAATGATATAGAGCAAAGGGAAAATTATTACCTGCTTATAAGCTTAAAATTCTTTACTCCGGTAAAAAAATTACACCAAAAATTCTATTTTTCTTATTTAACTACTTTCCGGGGTCGACTGATTTACAAGCAACTAATGAAAGTCTTACAATTTTTTCCTCTCTTCTATCACTCGGTAAAACCGACAAATGTACGAAAAGAGGACCTTACACCTTAGCCCTTTACACCCTAAATCAGTATGCATGTTCTCGAGCTCCATACTGTTCTTTAAATATTTCCTAAGATGCCAACACGGAGAATTTCTCTTACAATCAAGATCTTGTTTGGTGGGTGATCAGCTCCTTTATTCTCCTGACCTTAAGGTTCAATTCAGGGGTGAGGTATGGTGAGGAGATATTAGATGCCAGTCACTCTTACGGGTTTAAGGGTTAACCTATATTAACCACAATTAATCCGTCAGACTCAAACTAATACCAAGCGAACTGCTTCTTTTCCTGCACGGGTAAATCTGCAACGGTCGAGGTTTTTTCTATTGTAACGCACTTTTCCTGTCTTAGGATAACCCACAACTATAGTGCACCAGTCCGACTGTGATAATCCGCTGGGCAGCCTTGAATGAACTCGGGAGTCGTCAGAGAAGGGACGATGCGGATCCTGAAAGTCTCTGATAAAAGACTTTCCGCCTGGCTGGTCAAGTAAGGCTACAAATGGGACTCGATACAAGCTACGTTCAGGAACAATGATGGTTTCAGGCTCGGTGAGTAGATCGGCCATTGGAGGAATGATCTGTTTCTGGAGTTTCTGCACCTCGCAGCTCTACTTAACCTTCATCATGAAGTGATATCGGCACAGTTTCACTCAAAGATCGATCGTCACATTTCTGACTGAGTAAAATGCCAAAGCCACAAAGACTCGAAAACTTCAGCCAGGCATCCCGAGGTTGTGAGATTGTATGTAAACGCGAGCTATTTTGCGATCACGGCTAGGCGGGTTACCTGACCCACCTGGGGTCCCCCACATCCATGTAAACAGGCCCCAGTACCGAGTTGTTTTAAAAAAACTAAGTATTCCTTGCAGAACTCTATTACCTGTTGATCACGTTTAGTGTGTAAAACCGAAGGAAACTGGCAACAGCGAGACCCACAGCGTTAATCCCATAAACGGTTCCTGTTCGATTGCTCATAAAGGTAGTCTCCTGAATACCTGAAGACAAGGATACTGGAAAATGAAAATAATATTTTTTTTAAACTTTTCTCATCAATTGTTTTTATAGGATATTGTAAATTTCTTTCTCGATTCCATTATTCTTTCCTTTCCAATTATGATTGTTTCCTCATACCGTATTTTTGAGAAATATTTATTTCAGAAATTGTAAAAGGAAAATTACCCGACATTCAATGCCGAAGTTAGCTTAAGCTACTCTTTATAATCACATATAAGACGAAAATTTCTTTCGAACTGAAATAGTTAGGAGAATTTGGTGTTATATCAATACGACACTCTGAAGATGATAGAGTCTTCTTTTCTCAGCTTGCTGTATAATGTACTGATGTTGTTAGGGGAAGTCAAGTGTTTAGTATTTCTGAGTGAGGAAGAGTGAAATAGCCTCCGTACTCGTCGAAATACAGCACAACTTGCAAAATACTCTTAAATGCAGCGAACTGATTACAGATGGAATGGAACTGGGTGGAATTATATAAGTTCGAATAAACAATGTTAACCTCACACTTTCTCGCATATTTTAACATGGATGAGTCAAATCACTCATTTTAGGAAATGTAACAATTGGGCAGTGTCTATGTAGGCTATGTAGAAATATAACTGAGGTACGGACAGTTTAATTTACATTTTTTGAGAAGTGAACATGTGGTATTTGTTGTGTTGATGCAATGATCGATGAAACCAAAAGCATGAAATTAAATCGACATTTTTCCCGCAATTCAAAGAGCTTAACGAGAGCTTGAAGACTATCGCCCTGAACAAATGTTTTCGTTCGAAATCAGCGAGATACTTTTCGATACCTTTGTTTTTGATGACTTCTTGTCAACTGATTTATTTTTTTCCATAAATTACGTAGTGATTCAACAAGACTTCCGACCAAACGCGCTCGCATTTCACTATGCATATCTTGTTCCCTACTTTTCCGAATCGCCACGCGGTTAGCTTACACATAGGGTTTAACTCTATTTTCTGCACGAGGATCTACTCTTCATGTACAATAGTTTACTACCAATTGTATTTTACTTTCCTTTCAATTTCAAACTGTCGATTTATGCCTTAGTGTAGTTCCTATTCCATTTTGTGAATTTCATATAGTAACGCCACGAATGTGATCGATATGTCGTCGCAAATCATACTAAATTGTTATCTTTGTCTTTCAGAATTCTTAAAAATTATAGGAAATCCTTGAGTCAGATTTGCGCGTTTGTATGTATCACCGTGTTTGCCTGTCATGCGCACTCAAACGCCCGAAAACACTAGAGTGGTTTAGCAAGAGGACGGGAACGTCATTTCAGAACGGCGCGCGCAGCAAAAATGCCGAGAAAAAACTGGGTCGAGAATGCCGTCGCGTTGTGTTGAAAAGTGACTTAACAGTCGTTTCAACGATCTGTCCACGTTCTATTTGTTCTTAAATATCTTAACCTTGGCTCTTTAGGATCATTATCAGCTTTGAATTTTCGGTTTCATAGACCACTTGAAGGACAACGAAATCATCCTCTTTGAGACTGTAACAAGCACAAACCGAGGATAGTTTACTACAAGTAAGTTGTTAATATGAATCCACATGGGCGATTAAACTTTGAAATTATTTCATTCCAGTTAAGTCTCGAGTGTGCAGATTCATCTATCAAATTTTGAAGCCCACTAAATATTTTTTTCTATGATTTGTATCGCTCTCATTTCGTTTCGTGCTTCTAGATTTCAGCACTACTCGTTTTTCTTCATAATTTTGTGAAGTATAATTTGGAATTAAAATCGTCGCCGTTTTTTCCCTTGTTTACTGAATATTCTTCTCAATCATGACAGTACACCTCTTTTAAGCACCACCTTCTTAGGGTTGCAATGTATTTTGAACGGAGTTATCAGGAGTTATGGCGAAAACATGTAGAGATCAAGCGACCCAACGATGGAGTTGTTTACAATGAGTTCCCGTTTAACCATGAACGAATGAAATGCACTCAAACTAGTCACCAACGAAACGGTTTGACTGAGGAATCAGACTTCGTCCCTGTTTTATTTTGTTTTTGTTTAATTTAATTTTTTAAACGAATAAATTCGTTCAAGACTGAATCAAATTAATAGATTTAGAAAGCCGTGCCGAAATCAAGTGGATTGTTATTTTCTTTCGTAGATGACTTTCTTGTCTAAGTTTTCACCGGCGCTGATCAAAACTAAAGACATAAAAAATTGAAAACCCGAGCTATTCTCAAATTTTTTTTTACCTCTGACTTCAATTCGCAGAACACTTTTTAATCACGGTTAAAGCAACAATGACAACAAATAACACTGAATAATATAGCAGGTAGCCTTCGTGTTGTTTCATTTTGATAAACTTCAACATGAAGCAAATTTAATTTATTGATGAATTAATTCACGATAAATATTAACAGCACCCGTTCTTAGAGTTTTCATACATGGTTTAAGAAATGTATCAAAGAAAAGCCCTTACGTTGCTTAAAGCCACGCTCAATTACAAAAGGTAACTGAGCCCTAAAATCTTAGATCGCTTGCTGACGATCGTGTTTCCTTTCGGGAATCCAGAATAAATATAGCGGTAAATTTTCACAAATTCACCAAATAAAACAAAGAAAGGCACCTGGTTGTCCTGGAAATGAGTTCTGAAATCACTCCAAACAGCATTATCTCGTTTACAAGTGCACAATTAACGCAAATCCTAGGCGTTTTGGTCACGACGGGAAAACCAGCGAAATGACGTCCTGAACTTGATGGGGAGAACGGCAACGCTAACACCGGAAGTCGAAATAGAGTCGTGTCCAGATTATCCGCGCGCTTTCCCGCTCTGAAATGACGTTCCCGTCCTCTTGCTAAACCACTCTAATTATTCACTACCGTACTTCGAAAAGTTATTCACAACGTGAAAATTACAATTCTGGAAAGTTCCCTCGTGGAACGCAGCATTAAAGAAGGAAGTTAATGGCTTTTCATCCTCTTGTTTACAAGTTTCCCCTTTGGAAGTACTTAACACAGCATTTGGACCCGGCAAACAAGATACCTTTCCTTTATTTTCCTCGCTAGGTTTCTCATACTTTAATAAAGCATTGGACCGATGTCCCGTTCGCTCACGTATAAGCTTTTCTTCTACCCCAACATTAATAAGAGACGAGGCACATGTGACGCGTAGGCAATGCGCAGTTTTCCGTTTTACCCCTGCTGCCTCACATAAATCTGGCAATACCTTATTTAGAGTGTTTACACCGACTGGAACTTTTTCAAAACCAAATTTGGCCTTAGATGCCTTGTAGTAAAATGCATTACCATTCTTTCCAAAACTTCCACTAAGCCTAAATACAAGCAATGTATTTCAACAAGACAAGGCTCGTGTTTTACGCCTTCTCCGTGACAGATATGCTTAACTGTTCTGGGAATATATTTCAGATCGGAGACTCCTCCATGAAATGTTTTACAAGAATTTTATTGAAACTCAATAAAATTAGACCCCAGCTCAAAATTATTTAACACAATATTTCTATGATCTCCACCTCGTAAACCAAAGATTTTTCCATTGTAAAAATACACTGTATACAATAATGACTAAGCCGAGCTCGTTCCTTATAAGTTCATCTCCCAGAATTTTCTTTCTTTTTCGGCGGTAACAAATTCTTTCTCTTCCTTTTGGCACTTGATATGGAAGCCTTCTTTGGTAGCATTTTTCATCTCTGCATCTAAGGCACGCCGAAAAATGCTGAACCTATTGTAATTAATCCACCAACAAGAGTATGTCACTTTAAAGAAAAACTGAAACTATTCCCGAAATAAAAAATACCAAACAAGAAAAAACAACGTGTTTAATTTCCCGTACCTTTTTTCGCAGCATCAAGTGGATTCAACGCCTCGTCGCCATATTTGTCTCCCAAATGACGCTTCAGACCACACACTATCTCCTACACAGTTCTGGGTAGATAACTTTCCCCTGAATCTTTGGCGACTTCCATTACAAACTTCGTGAGCCAGTAGTTAAGAGATATGGCATCCATATCCTCTATTTCACAACTAACAGGATTAACCTTGTGCAATTCATAATCTTGGTAAAGACCACCGGTATCTAAAATCGGCACTTTTATCTCCCTTTGCTGCTGCCATTCCCGAAATATTTTTAAAGCTCATTTGTTTTTGTACTTTAAAGAAGATGGAACAGCTTCATTGGCCAGGACTTCTTCCTCAGCTGCACTTTTCGGTCTTCCTTTCTCCTTCTCAGCCATAACCATCAAATACAATGAAACACTGCTAACATGCGACAAAAGGCTTTCAAAATACAGGCAGAGACTTGCATGAGCTATTACCATTCCCGAAGGGAATACATTATTTTTGCATGCTTTATTGCATTGTATTTTTAAGGCGTGATTGAGAAGTCATGTCAAAAACTCGTACTTCGTGTTTCATCAGGGGTTCCAAACACCTCGAAACAATAAAAGCACTCGGCCTGCGGCCTCGTGCTCTCATCTGTTTCTCGGTGTTTGGAACCCCTGATGAAACACGAAGCACAAGTTTTTGACATATTACATCAATCTCCGAAATACCAAGAGATGGGTTTTTTTCCTCTTTGCATGATGTCTAGAAAAACCTTCTAGGAACTACTGCATTTAGAAAACTAAAGATCCATCAATGATTCCTTTGCCGATCGAAGTCAAAGAATGGTTACAAAAGTAAATTTGATTGACAAGCTACATACTGAGTTAGGTAATTATCTGTTGTGTAAGCTTCTCATCTTACATGCCAACGTGGAGATCTGCTGTTCATTTAAAATCGTTCGCTGGTGGAACTTGTGGGTTTAGTTATCGAGAAGACCGAAGTTGCATATCTCAAGTCGTTCCCTTGCATAGTTGTAAAAAAGACATTTCAAGTCACTTGCGGAGTTGCAAGTTTTCAGATCCAGAAAATGAAATTAATCTTATTTTGTCGCTTGCCGGCATCTTCGAGACGCTAACAGATATCGATGATTTTACATTTTGCCCCACACATAGATGTTGAGTAGAGTTGTGGTTCCAATAGTAGATGTAGAGTGCCTAAAGAGGTGTTCGGCCATTGCAATGGTAAGGTTAAGTCGATTCCAAAAGCCGATACTCAAAATGTCAGGAAAATTCATACAGCCTGGCTCCGGTAAGTAGGCTACTACTTAAAACCGTGAGCAAAAATACGCGTTCCATCAGACTTAAGTCTCGATTAGGAATTGGTCAATATGCTACCAAAAATCCAGACAGAAGCGGAGTTTTCTATACTAATGTCTGAACACTTTGTTCGCTTCCCGTTTGGCGGAATGCGTAATTATGCACACGGTGATAAAGGGCCCTTCCGCACAAGCTACTAAACGCTGACAAAACTTGTTTCTCTTCACCCAAAATCACATCAAAATTTGTCCTTGCTGAATTTCAAGTGTGCTGCACGTATCATTACCGCCGGGGGCCAAATTTACATTAGGGGGCGGGGGTGCGCGCCGGAAATTTCGAAAACGACCCTTATAAAATTAATAAAGGTACCTGAGTCTTATTTGTGTGGGAGTGGCAACAATTGATGTCTACCCCTAAAAAGTACCGATTTAAAAGCAAAAAATTGAAAAATTCTAAAAATAAAAATTCCTTGATATTGTTAATATTGTAACTTCTAATTGATAGCTCTTGTCCATGATTCTCGATCCTGTTTTTAGCTTTTTAATAGATTTACTTACTATTTGTATTCTTACAGAAATTATGCTTTATTTCTAATTGTACATACACGTACACGTTTTAACGAGAACTTCTGTACTCCTAGGTGTCACGTGTTTAAATAAAGGATTGATTGATTGATTGATTGATCGATGTGCTCTAGAGGCTCGAGCCAGGTCATTAAAATCGTCCCATTAATGCTTATTTCAGGTGTTTTATTGAGCGAAAAACACCCTAAAACGCACCAGCCAGGTCTCTGGTTTCTTTGACCCCTGAAAGGTACGACAAGCATCCTTGCCCATTTCCTATTGCCTTCCCCCCCGTCATCACCTAAAAACAAAGATTTGCCCCCCAGTGAGAAAAAAAAAGTGATTTGCGCCAGTCGCCCCCTACCTCAAAAATCTAATGTTCCGTCCCTAAGATACCTTTTACATAATTCCAAAATGAGCTTCGTTCCGTAACGAAATGAATTTCATACCAAATATACATGCGAGATAATTTAGCCTGTGAAAACAATTATTTATGTCCTTTTCTGTCTTTTTCTTTGCTTCCCTCGCTCCTAAAGAGGATTCACACTGATGTAAGAGTCGTACCGCGTTTACATTATACAGGTACAAGAATGAGTGTTTCGTTCTGGAGTGAAAACCCCAATAAACTCATTCAGAAATGACTCATTTCGAATAAATTTTACTCTGGTATCATGTGGCAACCGGAATGAACTCGCTCTTGAACAAAACTCATTCCGATATCATGTAAAAGGCCCCTAAAAGTTTTTATTCCCAGAGCATCACGCTTTGCTCTCCTGTCTAAATACTATAAATTTGAATAGCGTCGAAGCAACAACCCGCTTTTAACTGCTTCGCTGCCACTGAAACAACGATTAGTGACCACAAAAGGCATATTTTCTAATATTTCCAATTCAACATAAACAAAAATATCTATACAGGGTAAATATTCATTTGTGTCAGGATAAATTATTGCGTGACTAGCTCATGATGTAAATGAAGAAGGGGAAAACACAACGCAAAACCTGGGCTCCAGTCAAAAAGTATTACACAGGCGTAATATAATCATCGAAACAGCTAATAAAATCATAAATAAACAAGGTAAGAGTATTATGTTAGATTTTTTTTTACAAATTGTAGTGGTTTATGCCAGTAAACAGTGGAGACAAGTAGGCCCATCATGTATATTTCATAGTCGCTAGCAAGTAAATTTTGCCGGACTTCGAGTTCGTCTCAAGATACAGCAACACAAATACACAAGGAAATTTTCACAGTAACTTTTTAACCATCCTTTTGTCTTTCAAAAACTCGAAGGTCAGTAGATTCTGTCATATCGGTCATTGTTAAAACTGTCTTTGTTACGATGTTACTTTTCGAAATAGGAAAAGTATGTCGGATAAAATATTTACCAAAAAATAAATATTTCTTAGCCAGCTCCAGTAATGACAGGGGATTAACTTTAAATGATAAAACAAAGGATTATGTTGACAGAAATACCGGAGGTCAAGTTTACTCATTACATGAGGTCACACAACTCGGGTAATACTCAGCGTGAAAATTTGCATATTTGAGCGATCGAACGAAAAAAATAATTTCTCGAAAACTAAAATGTGTTTTCTCAAAAAAACTACACCACCATTAGGCTACAAAATATGAAAGTATCGAATTTTGGGCGACTTGCCACAATATTTCAAATTTGTGCGATGGATGCTGACATCCTCCCTTAAAACGCTTCGTTTCCCCGTGTGGACAACTGAAAACGGACGCTTTCGAAAGCGAGCACGAAAAATGTGTCACATAAAAACAGTTCCGTCTGCATTTCCGGACGTTATTCAGTGAATTATACTAATCGTGAACGCATCATTACAAGATAAGTTCTAAGGTTCCATTGGTGGTTTACGTGATGCAAGTCATCTCAGACACGACGATCACAATTTTTCTTGAGTACGGCGAATTTTCACTGATTCTGGAGTGGTAGTAGCCGAATTGAAGAGAAAAAATTCGGTAAGATTTGAGAGCATAGCGTCCGTTCTTGTTTTTGGAACGTCTGTCGTTGTCTATGACAATCATCTTTTATCCCTTTATATACAAAAAGTAAAAAATCTCTCTAATGCACAAATTATCCAGCAAACGGTAATAAGAATATTCAAACTTATCCGGAAGTTGTTATTTTGATCTAACACCAGATCCTTGTAACTAATTACAAAGAAACGTCGAGTAGCTCGAGGGGAGAATTAAAAATCAGATCTTGCGAGTTAGGGTCTGTTTACATGGAGGTGGGGGACCCCAGGTAGGTGAGGCAACTCGCTTAGCCGTGGTCGAAAAATAAAAACGCGTATACATGCAATCTTACAACCCCGGGGTGCTGGGGTGAGGTTTCTTGAGGTTGTTGTTGCGCTTGCAATTAAGAAGTTTGAGCAGAGGCGTCCCAAGCTCACATCTCGAAAATGACGAAAGATTAATTCTCGGACACGTGTTTTTATTCATGAAAGCGTCACGCGTTGTGTTACGCGGTGTTCGGCTTCGTTACACGGAATAGTTTGGGAAACCAAATGTTGCGGCAAACGAACATCAAGGCTCGATGAAATACCAAGAAAATCGTGACCGGAGAAAAATGCCAACCAAATCCAGGGGATATATTACAGGGACATAACTTTAATCAATCCCCTGGATTTGGTTGGCATTTTTCTCCGGTCACGATTTTCTTGGTATTTCATCGAGCCTTGATGTTCGTTTGCCGCAACAGTAAAATATCACCAATTGACGCCTTTGGCTGGAATTAAAATTCGTTGAGGATGAGCGATAGTGGTAGTCGATCGCCTCGAACTACAGTTCGAAAGATCCTCTCATTGGAGAAGGAACAAGCAGAAGTTGAAATTCCGAATGAACTATGCGATTTAAGAGATCTTAGTTTAAACGAAGCCAATAGTCCTCGTGGCAGGAAACACGATCCTCCAAATTTGAGAGAACCGCACGAGCGGACTTTGACTGACAAAGGCAGAGCCTATCAATTGGAAATTCGCGCTTTAAAGAAACAAGAAGTGGAAGACAAATTGCGTAAACATGTTGGAAGAATTTACTCATTGCTCGACTCCCACCCGGGTACCGAAGAATTAGAAAAGGAAAGACAAATCCTGGATGTAATTAAAGAGGAACTTAACCAGGCATACCGATCTTATGACGAGTTACTTGATGATGAAAGCGCCAAAGGTGCCGCTTACCGATATTTCGATTTGTGCGATCGGGAGTTTATCGAATGTCGAGTGCGACTATCCGAAATCCTTCGTTCAGTCGAACAACGAGAGCATGAAAAATTCGAATCTAATAGGC